ACCATTGTACATTGAAATTCAATCACTTTCAGAACTAGCTAGTCCTAGTTTGGTCCTAGTCCTGGTTGGGAGATCCTTGGTTATAGGCCAAGTATGGTCCCAGCTTACTGAAATACATAGAACGTATAAAGGACATTACAAAGGAATTTCGTTATGACTTGTAGTTAATATATTAGTCAAGTTCTATGCAACTTCTAGCTGAACAATTGAATTTGAAATAAGGAGAATATCCAGTCAGAATTTACATGTTAGGACCAAATATTAAACAGGACTTTTTTTCCACCAGAATGTAATACTTGATATCCAAATACTATAAGAAGTAGAATTAAATGGTCTAGTCCTAGTTTGGTCCTAGATGAGAGATCCTTGGTTCTAGTGTTAGGTTGCTCCCTAGTTTACTGCAACAATTAGAAAATATACAGGACATTGCAGAGGAAGTTATACTTGAAGTTCATTTTTTGTAAGAATCTGAGGTGGGTCGTCTGGTCCTAGTTTGGTCCTAGTCCCAGTTCAGAGATCCTGGGTTCTAGTCTCATTTGGTCCTGGTCCTAGTTGAGAGATCGTTCCTCCCAGTCCTAGATGGGCAATTCATGCACTGGAGAGGCAGCCAAAAGGTAGGTCCCTGGGGGGGGGGGGTAGCATATATATATATATACACATTATATACGTGTCTATATGTACGAGTATAGAGATAGTATAGACATAGCCAGGCATTGAATCGGCAAATTCAGTGCTGCGTTCACCGTCGTTGCTTCGCATGTGAGGCGGTGCAGGAACAGCTCAGCCAGGTGCCGTGCTGGCCTCATCCAACTCACATATGCTGTGCAGGATCTCCACTGCTTCTGGTCGTGCCACTTGATGTAGTTCCCGCATCATCTGTGATCTCCAACATCTAGCTATTTCTTCTGTCATCGCCTTCGGGTAGTAGGCCCTGGCCGCCACGTTGTCGGTGCTCAAGCCGCGAATGGGACAGTGATCACTCGCACCGTCACATCGCCGCCGGCACCGGTTGTGGAACGCGTCAACGTTGTTCATGATGGTCCGTCATTTCTTGAGAGCCCAACCTTGAGCATCACCGTGGCCTCACCAAGTGCGCGATCAGCATCCAAGCAACTCTTGGAAGGTCCAAGCCGGCGCGCGGGCAGTGCACCAGCTTCTGCTCAAGTGCAGGACTTCGGACTTCACTTTCCCAGCCAAAAGGAAACACCTGGTCAACACAGCGCCACCCATCAGACTGGGGTTGGGGGGGGGGTGCTGTCAATTGCCAAAAGTTAGTCATAGAGTCATAGCAGTCAACTGGAAACCGCCCCTTCTGGGCTTCCGAAAGCCCTCGGCAGTGTCTGCCAAACCGTTCTGGACACGACAAACCGACGCCGGAAGTGGCGCCGAAAACCTGGGTCTCTGCCGAGGTTTTCGCATGCCTCCAAGCGCGAAGCGTCCGAACCGGCCACACGTGTGATAGAGAAAATAGGGCTTTTCACTTAGCTTGTCTCTTAGCAACCCCTTCCAAAAGTGGTCACAAAAGGGCACACCCTTTTGTAATGGGCAATGCAAGGGGTTGGGCTTAGCCAAAACGGGGGTCGAAAACGCATCTGATCAAAGGGCACCAAGCCCCTTTACAGCTCCGTTTGCCTTGCCAGCGCCCAGTTGTCGAAGCCCGTGAGCGTCTGAAGCGACCGGCCTCCGTCGGTCGGCAAAATTTAGGCTCTCCAAAGCGAACATTACTTTTCCTTTCACAACCATAGCACTTGAAGGAGAGTATCTGGAAGTTTAATTTCCCCTTGCCTTGTCAGGTGACATGTCGGTTGGAGGGAGGATAGCCCTAGGCCACGTCTTATTGGCAACCATCATGGCGGGTTGGCTTGGGGCATCGGTCCTTGACAGCATCATCTGCCTTGATCTTGATCCAATGCAAGTCTCGTAGGTGCGTGCTAAACCGGGGACCCACCCTCTTTAGTGGACCGTGCTTCCAAGGGAACCAAACAACAACAAGAACAGGCCCTTATGTCATGACACGAGGTACCGTTTTGTAGCAGCGTTGAAGGGATATCAAAAGGGACGACCGACTGCTAGGGTCCCTCGTTCCAACACACACCCATAACCGAATCAGTCACATGGAACTCGCAACGAGGAAAACTTTGAACCTTGTGGTTCTTGGGCCCAAGCCACAGGTTACAGGTTGGGGTCCAACATCAAGATCTGTACAGGGCTTGCCACATTCCCAGGCGACCTTGAGTATCAAAAGAAATCAAATGAAACACCCCGAGCTGCTGAGCATACCCAGAAGAAATTCGCACCCTTTCAAGCAGCCAGGATCACCTGAAACATTTGGCCAATGCAGGTGCCTTTGCACTTTGCGGAGTTGGCACCTCGCATTCTTTTCCAGCCTTTGGCGGTGCTCACAAGCAAAACTGCTTGGGTGGTTGCTGGTGCGATTTGCCGGTTTGTGGACAACTACGCATATGCCCAAACAGTTCAGGTTGGAGGTTGGATATAAAATATACATGGATCCAAACAGTGCGAAGCTGGACAAATACACAGATTCCTAAACAGTTGCAGGTTGGGCAAATATACGTGAAACTCATGCTGCCAAAACAAATCTCCGGCGTTTGCACAATGCCCTCTGCTGAGTGAGAGTGTCACGGCTTCAGGTCCAACCCAAAAGCTAAGGGCTAGTTCTCTGTACGAACCCTGAAGACTAGAACCAAATTCTCAAAACCAAAACGCCGAACCGCCTTTCACGCCGCCGGCACGTCCGGCCGGGGCCCGGACTGGTGAAGACCAGCGGAAGGTTCTCCGAGCGCACGTCTGCCACCCAACAGGGCAGGCCTTCCTCCTGGGAAACGGTTTGGGTTTTCGGGGTCTCTAAATGGCTGTGGCTCAAAAAACCGGTACCAAAATGGAACCCTGCAGGTAAGTGGAAACGTGGACCAAAGCCTGCCCAGCCCCCCCCCCCCCGTCTAACTTTGAGCCACATCCAAATGGCTTCCCCGAACCCGAAACAACAAATCAGAGAAAAAGAGCTCAATATACAGGCTCATAAATATGAAGCCCGGCCAATTTGAGGTCAGCAATTCTAGGAGACTCCCATTGACTGGCTTCAAAGAGACATCCTGAAAGACTCACCGCAGTGCTTCAAAATTCGGGACCCTGTTTGACAGCACGTTCGGGGTTGCTGCCTCAAACGCGCTGGCCAGCGGAAAACAGGGGCCCCCTTTCTTGGTTGCATTTGAAGAGAGGGCAACCCTTGCCCCAACCAAAAGGACAAACTGGCCCCATGAATTTGCCCAAAGTCATCGTTGAGTGGTAGGTTAACGGGAAACAACCCCTCATTTCCTAACTTTGAAATATATATATATATACATGTATATACATCCCCCGCGGCCACAAAAGGTCAAAAAAAAAGGCTTTAAAAACGGGTGCCACTCGCTCAGAACCATTGCTTTGCTTAGGCTCCTCATCCTGCAGGGTGGGCTTTCGCTTCTCCTCTTCTGGATGTTTGGGCAGCTTCCAAAGCAGCCTGCGATCCCGCAGACCGGCGATGCGGTCTCATTTGGCTCAACGAAACCGAAGAAAAACCCATTGAGTCATGGTCAAAGCCTGATATTAAAATGGTGTGCCCAGCACCATGTGAAGAATTACTAAAAAGGCGGCTGCGCGCATTTATGGTTGGGACTATCCCTTACACACCTTCATCTACTCGGATTGTTACCCCTGTGTGGAACTGTCTACATTCACGGTGTCCACGAAGAATGTGTTTTTTGAGTAGCCAGCATTTTCCTATTGTGATTTGGAGAGTGTGGCCCATGGACGGTAGATGTCAGTTAACAGTGACCGCTACTCACATGTTCTAGATGTTCTACCTGGATCTCACGGCCAGTTCCCCAAATGTTACGTGAAACCCTTTCATGCCATGCGTGCGGTTGGCATTGCTTCAAAACACACTTCCTGTTCTGAATATCGATCTTCTTTGAAACGCAACAAGGAAACACACAAGCAACTGGATTGCTTGAACAAAAATAATGACAACAAGTCCCCTGGGATTGAAGGGCCTGTGCCAAGGGCCAAGGCCGACCCTTTTTGCACTTGGCCAAAAAAAAAAGGACACATTTTTGTGGACACATTCAAACCTGGTGTTCAAGGGGTCCATATCAACGGGCTTCTTGATGTACCTATCTCAGTTTACGCAAGTCAGTCCTCTATCCTTCATCTCGGGTGCCTCAAAAGGAAACTGGGTACCAACTCTTTCGGACGGCGATGGTTTCCAGTTTCCACAACCCCCAAACCACCGCCCAAAGGTTTAATAGTTTAATGGGATTTTCAGCCACTATGTAGACAGTAAGACGTACATATATGCCCCGGTTATCCGTTAATATTGACCCTGGGCTAATCAACCAAGCGGATGAATACGGTGGGTGTAGCCCATTGGCCCAAACAGTGCAGGATCCAAATAAATCAACCCGTTGACAAATCCTGGTTTGCCGGTCAAGTGGAAACATCGGACAACATGTGGAAATATGGATACTTACAACAGAGGATTTTTCTCGGTCAACCTTTTTTCTCATAAGCTTCGGTCGCTCGCCGGTCCGCGCAAGCGGCTGGATAAATCCAGCTTCCGCTTGCTTCGCGGGTTTTGTTCTGGACGTGATTGGGAACTCTCGGACCACTTGGTCCAATGGAAGACGAGTGTTCGAATTGAAAGGACCCGTTCGGTCGCTTTCCGTGTGGGCTGAGGAGTGGTCCAAAATGGTCCATCTTTTGGCAGCACTTGTCTCTTCGTAAATGTCCAATCAAATACCCATTCAGGTGGTTGCTTCTCGTTCAGTCCCCTGTGAACTCCAACATGTATCCAAAGTCTGCCTTGGAATATGTACCATTCACCTACCAAACACTGGACAAAAAAGATGATCACCTTTCAAGTATCTTGACTAAAATGTGAACGGTTCAAAAGGTCGGTTTTGGACCGAGGGTTTGGCTCACCGCACAGCTCGTGACGTATCTCACCTGAAGGTGGGGCTGAGCGCGCACTGCGTGAGGCATTCGTCCCGACCGCGGCACGACGATTTCCATTTGTACCTGGCAGCTGGAAAGGTCTCTGCCGCCTTGCACAACATCACACGTTCTTTGTGCTGGTGAGGGAGGGGGGATACTCAGTTTCCACACGTTTAAAAGGTGAAAGGTCTCCCAAAGAACACAGGGCTGTCTCGGTGCAAGAGGGACCCATAACGCCAGGGGTGCAAATCCCCAACCAACAATCCCAAACCCTGCCTGATTGCCCTGCAAGCAAGCCAGCAGATTGCCTTTTGACAGTTGATGGGCCCCAGTGGATATTGTGTATATTGGTTTCCGTCCAACCATGTTGCGTTGAAACTCATCCCAAAGGCTGACATCGACCCAGACCCCCGATGACAGAGAAGGGAACGACAAGAGAGGGCACTCATTTCTGGTAGCTTTCAAAAGACACCCCCTCCAAAAATAGGTTGCACTTCACACATGCCGAGCACTGGCTGCACTCATTTTCGTCGAAAAGTCGAAGCCAAGAGACTTGCGCGTCATGGGGCTGTAGCCAGAGGTCTTGGATGAATCGATGATCACCTGAGTCGATGAAGCATCCAAAGATCAACGCAACCATCCACTCAAAGGAAGAAACACAGCCCATGATTGGGCAAATTACTGGAATTATGTTGCGAACATAAAAAAGGAGAACCCCAAAAGAAACACTGCAAAGCAAGCCAGGCAACCTCACGAGCCACACCTCTTGAGTGAGGCATCTATTGAGACCTAGGGCCCGAAGGGGCCTTTGTTCGCGTCACAATTCAGGGAAACAAGAAAGGTTCGTCGCAGCCCTTCGCAAAGACCGGTTCTTTTGGGTCTAATTCATTGACATGTTTATCTTATGATCATGACTGTGGTTTGCAAGTGCCCAACGTGGCTTTGGAAGACTCGGTGCAGCCCACTACATCAACTTTGGATTTGGAGACACGACACAGCTGCCAGTTCCCATTTCCCTGAGGAAACATCTAGCAAATTCAAATCAAACTAAGTATCGCAGTCAGGCCATCGTCTATGGAAGAAAAACTACTTATGAAAAAGGCGGGGTCGGTTTTTTGCCCAATCCCAACCAGTGTTTCGATCTCCATGTTGCTATTTGTCCCAAAAAGTGAGTTGGGGCCAAGACAAAATCAGCCCAACCCAATCCAAACCACTTTTTGGACCAAATCTAGGGTACACCAAGATTATAAAACTGAGCCTGGAGCTTCTAATACTTCCAACAAGGCGCCACCTCCTCGGTCTTGGGCACATGGAACGTGGCAACGCCCACCTGAAAACTGGAGGTCCAAGTTTCGGCAAGAAAGGCAAACACAAATCGTTCTGGGCTAAGCAAGCCAACAATAACAAACTACAGTGGAAACCATAAAAAGAGACTTCTGAATATCTGAATAAGAAGCTGTACGGGTACCAACCAACAACCCACATTGGGCGGGCGCAGCATAAATGAACAGAAAGACTTGGGAACTACCCGTGGCCTGAGCGCCAGTTTGCCTGTTCTGCGCGCCTGAAATCTGTGTGGTGAAAGATTGGCAGTGGGCGAACAGTGGGTTTTTGCGCTGCTGTATGGTCCACCGAACCTGGCACCCAACTTGAACCCATCCTAAACTAGCCCTACCCCCCCCCCCCCTCGTCATAAAGGCACCCAGCGGTGAACTAGTGCCAACCCGACAGCCATCGAACCCCGCAAACCATCCCAAGCCGAAACCCACTAGACCAACCCTACACCAACTGCAACCCAAAACCCCTCCAGCCAACTCCTCACCCCGCATGCCTCAGTGGTGTCCGCCTCAAAGAGCAAACTTCTGTCGGCCTCAGAGTGAAGCATCCATGGAGAACTGACAGAATGGCACCGTGCAATTCTTCTTTTGGTTGATCCCAGCCGTAGTTTAAACAAAATACAAAGGACATAGGAAATGCCCTGGGTGTCATGCAACTTGGCACAATTCAAGAAACAAACGGGGCGACACTGGGGTTCCGCTTTTTGACTACCCCCCAAAAATACTTTCAACTTCGGGGTCTTGAATCTGCAGGGAAGCCCGAAGTCTGGCCGTCGAACACTGGCATAGAAGCTCGGTTGCTTTCTGCTCCCCTGCCAAAAGTTTAGCTTTTAGTGGTCTAATGGAAAACTGTTCATTCGCTGGCAAAAAGTGTTCAGCACTTTTGCACCAAAGAGCTTTTCACTGGAAACCCGCCAGTCTACCCATCGAAAAACGTGGCACGACTTGCGCAGCGGGCCTTCAACAGCTGCAGCTTCGCGGAGCCCACGGTGCTCGCGCTGGTGGCGTCCACGATCCTCGCGCCGAGCTCTCGAGCTCGCGGGCTCGCGGGCTCGCGGGAGGCGAGACACGTGCCCGGAGGAACCGATGGGCTCATGTGGCCATGGGCTCATGTGGCCATGGGCTTCTCAAAATCCACAGTGAACATTCCAATCCACTAAAATCGGCTCTAACATGGGTGGAGAATTCACCTACCCCAAAATGGTACCAGTGGTTTTGACCCACAGCCATACTGGTAATACTGTGGGTGGACGAAACCTTGCACCGCTTTTTTACCAAGGGAAACCATGGTTTGTTGGTATTGACAGGGAATCGAAACATTCCAGATTTTCCTGGGTGGTGCAGGATTTCGTCCATCCACAGTCGTGTACTAGAATTATAACTAAATCTGGCTTTAATGCGACCCGCAACCCCATTCTGATTATTCAGGCCCTTATACTACTCCCCTGGAAACTAACATGGACCAAAGGTCCCCCCCCTTCCAAAGGACATTCCTTAGTGGGGGTTTGGAATTCCGGGAGAAATCATGATTGCAACTACTCGCCAATTCTATTAATTCCATTATATCTGGACAAAATATACTAACTTCTGCCTGCCTCTTAAAAAGGGTATAAAATTGAAGGGGCGTCGAGCCAGGTGTATTGTTGCAACCGTGTTTTCAAACGTGTGTTTTCAAGCTTGTTAGGGGCAATTAAGCAGAAACGGCTGGGTTTTGAGAACTTGATGCTAGTCTTAATGAGACACGGGAAGGGCCGGATTTTCTCGGTTTTCGGCATTTCAGGGCCAAATAGAAACGGCTGGTTGTTTTGAGCCCGATGCCCGTGTTAATGAAATTCAGGGGTCGGATTTTCTCAGACATGTGGTTTCAAGCTTTTTGCGGGGGTCGGATTCTCGCCACCTGGCCACACTTGGCGTGGTAGCCATCGAAGATGAAGCCCCAGTGCGCCAAATAACACCCAACAGAATCGAGAAATCCTTATTTCGGAAAACACCTGGTAATTCGGGGTTTGGGGCTCGCCTCAGGCCAGTGAGCTCGGTATAATTTGTCTAGATTCTATTACTTCGGTGCGAGAATTTATCGGGAAAAAGAGGGATTATGTGGAGAACAACTCGGGTAACCTTAAAGCCCATATTGTTGAGTGGTTGAATCTTGAAACCCCCAGGTTTCCAAGGAAGATACCTCATTTTCAGTGGGTAATTTCCTCTGAGTATGTAAGGGTTGACGGCATGCCTGTACCCTTACAAAAGTAGAGTTTTTGTGTAGAGGGGTATGAGTTTTTTGAAACAAACATGTCAGAAACTATTGGCATCAGTTCTTCCAAAGCTCAATAAGTGCAGATGACGTTACGTGGGTTTGTCTCAAAACGAAAAGCACACTTGTGCGTCAATAAACCGGTTTTTGACTTTGTGAGTTTGATTGTCTGGATCTGGACAAGGGTTCCCCTTTGCCAATTCGCTCAGGTTGGAAGGCTATAATATCGGCACTTGATGACCCATGGGTTCTGAATGGATTCCTTTCGGATGCACACATGATTGTCCTTTGCCCGCTGGAACCCGTTTATCAGAAACCCGTCAAACGGGTGCCCGGCCAAAGGATCGCAGCTCCCTCCCCAAACAAAATGCGGAAGCCCAATGCCCCTCCAAAATGTGGCAATCTTCCTTACTGAGCCTCGCACAGAAGCACGAGATATCGCAATCGGGGAACTGGGGAGATGCAAGTTAATTGATGGCAACCTCGGATTAATAAACCCCTGTACCCCTGCTTATTCATATGGGAGTGTCCCCGGTTTAGTGGGGAATATTATTCCTATTGGAGGGGAACACCCCCCCTATTGATACGACGGGTTTATCAATCCGGGGTCAACATTACAAAATGTTGTTCTTTGCTGCAACACAAACTACTTTAGCCCGCCGCTAGTCAACTCAAAATGCAACCACTTTACTTGGCCCACATCTAGAGTACACCTGAAAAGCATACACTATGTTGAGATTATGTCTCGTGTTTAGTCACGTCGGTACTTTGCATCCCCAAACATAAGAATTGGATGTCTTAGATGACCCCACAAACAAAGACCGTGGTTTTCCTTTTGGTTTCCCTTTAAACCACAAAAAGGGATGCCCCCCCCCCAAAAAAAAAAAACTAGACCGACTTTGTTTACTTGTTTGGGAGACCCCCTTCCCTTGGGCCCGGCTTCGTCTCTCTCTCTCTCTCTCTCGCTCTCTCTCGACCGCTGGATCTCTTCGGGAGCTCCTCACGGCCAACTTCCACGTGCTGGAGGGCGCCTTCGTCGACGTCTCCGTCTCCACCTCGAAGTCCAGCGTGTTGTCCGCGTCGGTGATGGACTCCTATTCGGCGCCATCCGCTCAGGCGTGGGCCAACATGCGAAACGGCAAACCACCCAAAAAAAACAACAGCTCTCTGTTTCTCAAGATATATGTATGCATGCTTTGCGTTTCCCTTGTTGCTGTTGTCGTTCAAAGGGAAACCTGTCCAAAGAATTCGAAGCAGATTGTGCCAGGCCAGGGCACCTCACTCTCTTAGTTGAAAGTGGGGAATGGACCTTCGCCCCTTTCCCGGAAATTGCTGTTTTCCTCCAATGGCTCGAGAAAAGTCTGGAAGTACGGGGGCTAGCCAAAGGACTGAAGGAACCCCAAAGCCGCCGTTTTCGAGTGGAACCTTTCGTTGACCCAACGACCTTCATTGAAGCCTCATATTTGGGAGACGGTATGGAGTCAATCCACCAATGCTGCCGATGGGATGGATTCCATTCTGCAAAGTATTTCCCATGGCCTTCACGTGAGGGGCCCCTTTTAGGCGATTCGGCGTCCATTTTTGGGGCATCCACCCATGTTGGATGAACCAAATGCAGCCGATGCAGGGTCAGCCGTACCTACAGCATGGGAACAGGGCTTTGGGCCCCACCTATATGGCTTCAGGCGACGACACATGCCTCCCTCCGTATTTAGCAGTCATTGTTTCCTTGCACACCGCAATCTACTTTACATGTGTAGGCAAGCATCTGCAAATTCTACAACTGTGGTAAATGAACTTTTGAAAGAAGCGGCAAAACATGAAATGGTTTGTTAGATACCAACACGTATTTGTAGATAGCCAGAGGTTTCTTATAAAGCTTTGGCAGGTATTGAAAACATCTTAGAAGTCATGTTGACCCAACAAAAGGAACAATTCTTTCACCAGGCAAAATATTGCCTGGAACAAATAAGTTCAAGGGCCAACCTGATTAGGATTAGGACCAAGATCCTCAAGAAACCAGTAAACTGGCCTTCTGTGCGAACACATGGATCAAAGGCTTCGCAAGGTTCCATATTTTGATATGCAACCTAGTAAGTGAGTTTAAGCAATAAGAATAATAACAAATGACAAGGCTTGGCTTTCTTTTACCTTACCCTTTGGTTGTCCACATCCCGGGTTGCTTCTGTTTCTTTCCACGGGGGCTTGACGCCCTTCAAGCCCCAAGCTGCTGAGCCCTCGAGACCTAGCGGTTTGATAGATTCCACCGGTCTGGATTCCCAAGCGGAAACCTGACATCTGGTAAAATGGGCTGGTCTAGAAAAAGCCGCGGCAAGAACATCCAAAACAAAAGGCTGTGGGAAGTGACCACTTCTGAAGATACAACAAAAGCGGCCTCCCAAAGACTAACCCCCATACACAGCGGGGAGTCCCTGATCCAATTAGCTTTTGGAACACGCGAAAACGACCGAATGCCCGGCTGACCTGGTACAGTGTGGGCACTGTAGTGCTCGGAATGATCGGCGCCGAGTTCTTGACAACTGGCTTGGGCCTCAGACGGCAGAAATAATGCTGTTACAAATACCATATGGGTTGGGTCAAAATAGGGACCCCCAACATGGAGGTTTAGCTTTGGGCTTCCCTTCAAACGAACCTGTACCTCAAATCAAGACAAACCATAACCTATTGCAAACCCGTGCTTTCATCCCCCGGCGTTCATCCCGCTGCCGCGAAAACAACCACAATTGGCAGCCATCATTTCCCCTCAAAACGATCTAGGGTATGACCGGCAGCAAGTGGACAAACAACCCCCTTAAGCTGTGACCAGATGACGAGACAAAGAATGGGCTCGAATATAGTGTTGGTGGTTCTTCCTTTCGATCAAACCTGGGTGGGTCCTTGGCTGACCGTGTGCCAAAAGGTCGAGTTTCTCACAGGATCTAGTGAAGAAACGGGTGTGTTCCAAAAGGTGTGTCCAGTCTTTCAGGCACCGACTTGCTCGCAAGCAGCACCAAAGGCATGGAGCTTTTCGGGAATATTCACAAGGACGAAAAGGGTATTGCCATGGTGTCTCCCTGCTGTTAAAAGTATGGCCCCGTTTTGGACCGTGTCGCGTATCAAAGGGGACACCACAAGAGGGGCCAATGTTCTGAGGTGTAAATTTCGGATGAAATTAGCTTGGTCAACGGGAAATTAACAGCTTTCAGGGTTGGTTGACAGGGCATTTGGCACTGTATCTGTGTTTGTCGCAGATTGCTTCAGAGTATGTCTAGAGCATATTTGGGATATCTCTAGAGGCTTCAGCATGTGTCTATAAGGAACGCCGCATGTGAGAGAGATCACAAGCAGAATGGCCAAGTCTGAAAAAAATAAAACAATACAAAAACAACATAGTTCCCAAAGGTCGTTGGGCATGATTGTCGTTTTCACATGTGATTAGTTGGTTGAGTTGTCCTGGATACTTTTTGGGTT